GTATTGATCAAAGATAAGATGATGAGAATCATCGATGCAAATGGAAGATTAATCTTGAAGACTCCTATGTCTCAGAATCGAACCTTTAAGATTGAACTAAATGGGATGGAGCATAAGTGCCTTTAGACTGCAGCTCGCAGAGACGAATGGATATGGAATATAGACTAGGTCATCTCAACTTCAGAGACATCAGAGATTTGAAGAGAAGAAATATGGTTTCAGGATTGCCAAAAATCAACATTCCAAATGAGGTACGTGAGGAATATGTGCAGGCGAAGCAGCACAAGAATAGCTTCAGCAAGGATGCAAGAAGCAGGTCGAAGGTTATTCTTGAAGTCATATACTCTGATGTATGTGGACCAATCCAGGTGGATTCGATGGTAGGTAACAAATACTTTGTTACATTCATAGATGATTTCAGTCGAAAGTTGTGGACTAACCTGATCAAGAAGAAAAGTGAAGTGATCGAGTTATTTGCCAAGTTCAAGTCTATGGTCGAAAGACAAAGTGGTCGAAAACTCAAAGTTTTGAGAACTGATGATGGTGGAGAGTATGTGTCGAAAGACTTCGACAGATTATGTGAAAAGGAAGGGGTTGTGCATGAGGTGGTTCCACCCTATACTCCACAACAAAATGGAATTGCAAAAAGGAAGAATCGAACTATCATGAATATGGTACGAAGTATGTTGAAAGACAAGAATTTACCTAAAGAGTTTTGGAGTGAAGCTGTTTCGACTGCAACATACATTTTGAACAGATGTCCTACATGTAAGTCTAAGAGTGCCTAAGAGGGGGGGGGGGGGGGGGGTGAATTAGGTATATAAAAATTTATTCGGTTTTATGAGAATACTTGTAGTAATTTGTGGTTAAGTGTTTGAAGGTTTTTGACTATATCTTATCTTTTCTTGATTATGGTGATAAAAACGATAAAAGCGGAAAAGTAAAGAACACGGCGATATATCCTGGTTCCCCTCACAATCCGAGAGTACTCCAGTCCCCTTTCCAACACGAAAGAGATTTCACTATAGTTTAGAATGATTGTACAGCCTATGCTTACTATCTAACCTATAGGGTGACCAAAGGTTCTTAACACCTTTAAGGTCAAACAAACACTAATGTGAATAAAGAACAATCCTCTTCAAATCACAACACTTACTTCCAACAATCCTGGATAGTAAGGGAACACCTTTAAGGTCAAACAAACACTAATGTGAATGAAGAACAATCCTCTTCAAATCACAACACTTACTTCCAACAATTCTGGATAGTAAGGGAATACTTTCTTTTTGTAATACAATGATTTATTTGAAAGAGATGGAGAGCACTATCAATCTTTGATTGATCTTCTTGTTCAAGAAAGAAACAATTCTCAAGCAATGATTATAAATGTTCACAATGAATGTATGAAACTTGTAATGATTTCTTAATGAAAATGTATATGGCAAGTTTCACAAAATTTATGATTTGTAAGAACACTTGAAAGTTTGTAAGAATATGCAAATTTGAATGATGAAAATTGTTAATTGAAGAAGGTTATTTGAATTTGAAAATTTGCACAATTTATAATGTCACAAATACCTCTTCATTCATGCCATTTGATATGAAAAGATGCAATGCAATCATGAAAGAATACCATTTGAATTATGTTCAAAAAATAAAAGAAAATTTGTACTGGTTCGCTGGGAACCGGTTCCGACCCAGGCAGAACCCGATTCTTAGTGAACGTTATAACCCAGAATTCAAAAATAACACGCAGGAACCGGTTCCCCTATAGGTACAACCCGGTTCCTGGTACAAATTCTAGGGAAGTGATTTTTGAACAAGTTTGGAACCCGGTTCCCTGTTAGGTAGGAATCGGTTCCTGAAAGTTTATTTTCAAAAAATCCTTTTGAAAAAGATTTCAAACAAAGTTTTTGTTATTGTTAAAAATGTGGGATATGTATATGATCATGAATGCATATTTGTGAACATCTATATTCAAGTTTAAGAATTATTTATACCTTTTGACATTTGTTGTTTCTTTAATAATTCTTCTTCTAATCTTCAAGACTTGTAACAAGGTTTTATATGATATTGATAAACTTTTTGCACATCCTTTGAATGTTGATATCCATGTTGTCTTCATCAAAACCAATGCTTTAAACATGACTTGAGAAGCTTGCAATTACACTACAAAGAAGCTAGAAGGAATTACTCCAGAAGAATGTTGGTCTAGTGTGAAGCCTAGCTTGAGTCATCTAAAGGTATTTGGATCTATTTCACATAGACATGTGCCAGATCAGTTGAGAAGAAAACTTGATGACAAGTCGAGTCAAATGATTCTAGTTGGATATCATTCGGCAGGAGGCTACAAGTTGTTCGACCCAGTGAGGAAACAGATTATGATCAGTAGGGACGTGATCACATATGAGCTTAAAGAATGGGATTTGAATGAAAATGTCAAGAAAGATTCAGTGGGAATCCTACTTGAAGAGCCAGAAACTCAAGTCGAAAGAGAAGTTCGACAAGAGGAACCAACAGATATACCAAGTACAAGCAGACCTCAAAGAACAAGACGCATGCCTGCAAGATTGCAAGATTGTGTGATTACATCAGATGATGTGATAGATAATGAAGGTGATTTGGTACATTATGCTTTTTATGCAGATGTTGAACCTGCCAATGCAGCTGAAGTATTGAAAGATTCAAAGTGGGTGAAAGCAATGAACGAAGAAGTGAAGTCTATCAAAGACAACAACACTTGGTCACTTGTCGAATTGCCTTGAGGCAAGAAGGCAATTGATGTCAAGTGGGTATACAAAGTGAAAACGAATTTGAAAGGGGAAGTAACTCGACACAAAGCAATGCTTGTGGTGAAAGGATTTCTACAGAAAGAAGGAATATACTTTGGTAAAGTTTTTGCACCTGTTGCTAGGATCGAAACAATCAGTTGGAGTTCAAGAAAGGAACTAGTAGTGGCATTATCATGCGAAGCAAAATACATAGCTGCTTCTCTTTGTGCATGTCAAGCAACTTGGATGGTGAACTCGGTCGAAGAGATAACAGAGAAAGACCATAGAGCAATTACCATGAAGATCGACAGCATGTTAGCTATCAATCTGGCGAAGAACCCAATAGCACATGGTCGAAGTAAGCACATCAAAACGAGGTTCTATTATCTTTGAGAGCAGGTAGCTGATGGGAAGATGAATTTGGAACACTGCAGAACTGAGAATCAGATTGCAGACATCATGACGAAGGGAGTGCAAGTCGAAGTATTCAGAAGACTAAGAGCCATGATGCATATAGATAGTTTAGACACAATGAATTAGGTGGTATGTTAAATTGTAATTCATAGTGTCGAAAACTATGTGTGTCGAAAGAGATTAGATTTGTTTTAGATTTAAATAAGATTTGATTTAAATCTAAAGCATAATAGATTTGATTTAGTACTAAAATAGGTATTTTGGGCTTTTATAGTTTTGGGCTTAGGGTGCAAGCTAAATCTATAAATAGAGGGAGTAACTCCTATTTTGTAAGTGAATTTACAGTTGCAAGTGAATAACAAAGTTTTCCACAGTTTGTGGGCAGAGAGAAACTCTGCCAAAAATAATTGTCTTCTTTCTTTTCTCTACTTTCTCATAATTCATTGTCAATGTGTAGAAATTCATCATAGATATTTGATGGGTTTCCAACAATTATAATTTCGACATCTAAATCAAAAATTTGTAAATTTTGATAATAATCACAGAGTACGTAAAATACATTACTATATTTTCTTACACTTTATGTATATAAAATGTAGAGTACAAAATTTATTCAACAAATATAAATAACTCTACAAATTTTATGTAAGAATTATAACTTAATAAACAAATTTAAAATAAAATAAAATAAATATTTATTCATTAGAAAATTAAACAAAAGAAAATATATATACACTATAAAATACATTCTTTTTTAAAAAATAATTTATTTAATCAAATCACCATTAAGACTTATCTTTACCATATAAAAATTTCAAAAAGGAATATCTATCATACAAAAAAATTCACTTTATATTTGAGCAATTTATATTATTTTTAGGTAGGTAATATCGATTTAGGTAGGTAACTATTTCTCAACAAAAAGATACATACATATTACATTATAGGAGAGAGATTCCGATCATAAAACATAAACCAGTTTTCTCATCATTTATTTGATAGTTGTATAATAATAAGGAGAATTTAGGACAAAATTAAAAAGTTGATAGGGCGTATGAAAGAGATTTCGGGGGAAGAGTTAAGTCACTTCCTTTCAAATAGTTACAAAATCAAGAATATAAATGATAGATTAACGGTATGTATTATTTTATTTTTGATGATTGTATTACCGTTATTATTTATAATTTTTAGAGATGGTTTAGTACTGTTAATAGTTTCTCTGTCTTGAAAAAGGGGAACTTACCAGACAGGGGAGGGTAGCACAACCATGGGGAAGCCGCAGGAGGTGATGGTCAGCGCTTTTGCGCGATTCCAGTGCGGTTTTCCGAACGGCGTGCGAGCGGAGGGTCGTCGACGCGAACTCAGAGGCGGTGTGCATGGCGTGAAGCACTCCGGCCGGTGGTCGCTTGTAACCGATGGATTTATAATTATAATTTATTATTATAACGTTTAACTTTTAGTGCCATAAATGTTATGGACAGTTAAGTTTATTCAAACCAAAACCATCCTAATGAGTGCAACATCATGAATGGTCCGTGAATTAAATAATTACACAAAGTAAGCTAATTAGTAAATAATTTTAATTAAAAATAATCCCGAAGTCCAAATTTATTTTTCGACTGTTTTGTGTAACCTTGATCATGCATACAAATATTAACAAGCAAGCATTATATATTTAATTTATGATACATAAAAGAAGCAGTCCAAATTTATATTTTCAACTGTTGTGTAACCTTGATCATGCATACTATTGATAATTGTGGCAGATTGATAAGATTGAACGGCCTTATATACACAATGATAGATTAACTGACTTCACATGGTGGCTTTTGAAGACTGCAATGGAACCAACAAAAGATGGTTTATAGAAAAGAAGTGACACACAGGAGTATTCTTCCCAGGCTCAACTCTTAGTGTCTTGAATATCATATGATTTGGGTTCCAATCAGATGTATCCAAATGGCACATGCCAAGAGCTTCCATTTTATCTCCATTTGCATCGCCAACAAGTGTGACTTTGAACACTTTAGTCCCTGTAGCCATGTAATGGCAATAGTAAATTGCATAGGGATAAGGTAGAGGATGGCAAGCTACCCATTTGGAAGCATCAAGGTCATGTGATATTTTCAAAATGGTGTAATTTTGGAGAGAGATGGCAGAAGCTGAAGGGTAACTAGTTCTGATAACGTTATGCTTGTTTTCTGAACCAATTGTTGTGTCAACAAATTCAAACATGGATTCTACAGACTTGGCACAGATCTTGGTCTCTCCTATGAGAGCTTCTTCTTGGCATTGTTCAAGTGTGTCTCTCATGGTTTCAGCTTCAATAGAATGTTCTGGGATTGAGAAAAGTTGGAGAACACTTGGGAGTTGTGACACTGACAAAGGAATTGAGTCAGCCTCATTTCTTGATAAAAGTGAGGAATCTCTTGAACAAAAAATTGGAGGGTCATTACATTTCCAACATGAAGATCTTCTAGATTGAAAAAACCCTTCTCAAAAGTTTCTTAGTGATCAAAGTAAGGATTGGGAAAACGAGTTTTTACGATTATCCCAATTTCTCCAATTATTAGGATTATTATTATTATTAATATTTTTGGTTTTTTACAACGCTCAATTTTTTTAAGTATTAGGATCATCGGTATTAATTTTTTTGGTTTCACGACTATCTCAATTTCTCCAAGTATGAAGATAATCGGTATTGATTTTTTTGGTTTCACGATTACCTCAATTTCTCAAAGTATTAGGATCACTAATATTAATATTTTTGATTTCACGACTACCCCAATTTCTCCAAATTTTAGAATCAGCGGTATTAACTTTTTGGTTTCACGACTACCTCAATGTGTCCATGTATTAGGACATCGGTATTAACTTTTTTGGTTTCATGACTGCCCCAATTTCTCCATGTATTAGGATCATCGGTATTAACTTTATTGGTTTCACGACTGCCCCAATTTCTCCATGTATTAGGGTCATCGGTATTAACTTTATTGGTTTCACGACTGCCCCAATTTCTCCATGTATTAGGATTATCGGTATTAACTTTTTTGGTTTCACGACTGCCCCAATTTCTCCAAGTATTAGGATCAACGGTATTAACTTTTTTGGTTTTACGACTGCCCCAATTTCACCAAGTATTAGGATCATCGGTATTAAGTTTTTTGGTTTCACGACTACCCCAATTTCTCCAAGTATTAGGATAATCAGTATTGACTTTTTTGGTTTCACGACTACTCCAATTTCTCAAAGTATTAGGATCACCGATATTAACATTTTTTATTTCACGACTACCCCAATTTCTCCAAGTATTAGAATCAGCGGTATTAACTTTTTTGGTTTCACGACTACCCCAATGTGTCCATGTATTAGGATCATCGGTATTAACTTTTTTGGTTTTATGACTGCCCCAATTTCTCCATGTATTAGGATCATCGCTATTAACTTTATTGGTTTCACGACTGCCCCAATTTCTCCATGTATTAGGATCATCAGTATTAACTTTTTTGGTTTCACGACTGCTCCAATTTCTCCAAGTATTAGGATCGTCGATATTAACTTTTTTGGTTTCACGACTGCCCCAATTCCTCCAAGTATTAGGATCATCGGTATTAACTTTTTTGGTTTCACAACTACCCCAATTTCTCCAAGTATTAGGAACACCGATATTAACTTTTTTGGTTTCACGACTACCCCAATTTCTCTAAGTATTAGGATCACTGATATTAACTTTTTTTGGTTTCACGACTACCCCAATTTCTCCAAGTATCGGGATCATCGGTATTAACTTTTTGGGTTTCGCGACTACCCCAATTTCTCCAAGTATCTGGATCATCTGTATTAATTTTTGTAGTTTCACGACTGCCCAAATTTTTCTAAGTATTAGGATCATCGGTATTAAGTTTTTTGGTTTCACGGCTGCCCCAATTTCTCCAAGTATTAGGATCATTGGTATTAACTTTTTTGGTTTCATGACTGCCCCAATTTCCAAGTATTAGGATCATCGGTATTAATTTTTTGGTTTCACGACTACCCCAATTTCTCCAAGTATTAGGATCATCGATATTAACTTTTTTGGTTTCACGACTACCCCAATTTCTCCAAATATTATGATCATTTGTATTAACTTTATAATTGTAATTAGTTTTTTTCAATTTTTGAACTACCCCAATTCCTCCAAATATTTCTTAAATTGCAATTCAGTGTGTCAAAACTATGTGTCGAAAAGATTAGATTTGTTTATACTTAAATAGATTTGATTTAAGTCTAGAATAGATTAGATTTGATTTAGTAACAAAATAGATATTTTGAGCTTTGGGCTTAGGGTGTAAGCTCAGTTATAAATAGAGGGAGTAACCCCTATTTTTTGTAAGCAAGTCAAGCAAGTCATTCACAGTATTTTGCAGTTGCAAAGTGAATAAGAAAGTTTTCAGAGTTTGTGAGTAGAGAGAAACTCTGCGAAATTATTTGTCTTGTCTTCTTTCTTTGTTTGTCTCATAATTAAATTGTCATTATGGTAGAAATTCATCATAGACTTTGGTGAGTTTCCAACATCTGGTATCAAGAGCTTTTGTTTCGATTCAAGGGAAGTATCAATCAAGAACGATTAAAGAATTCACGATGACAAGTTATGGGAATGCAAACTATCCAACAACGCTACCAATTCTGAAAGTTGATAACTACGAGAATTGATGCAAACAGATGAAAGTCTTATTCAGGTGTCAAGGTCTTTAGGACCTTGTAAAAGATGGAGTCGAAGCGCTTGGAGAAAACGCTTCAGAAGAAGAAAAGAAGAAATACACAGAATCTGAGAAGCTGAGTTATAAAGCATTATTCATAATTCATCAATGTGTCAGCACAGACAATTTCGAAAAGGTTAGTGATTTAGAATCTGCAAAAGAAGCTTGGGAAATTCTTGAGAAGTCTTTTGGAGGCGCTGAGAAGGTGAAAGAAGTGAGGTTACAAACTCACAAAAGGACGTATGAACTGCTTCAGATGGAAGATAGTGAGAGCATATCTAATTTTTTTCACTAGAGTTACAAAACTAGTGAATTAAATCAAGGCATGTGGAGAAACATTAACAACAAGAGCTGTTGTTTTGAAGATTTTGATATCTTTAGCTCCTAAATTCGACCATATAGTGGTGGCGATATAAGATGGGAAAGACTTGTCAAAATTGACAAAGGAAGAGCTTCAAGGGAAGCTTGAATCTCATGAACAAAGAATGAACGAAAGAGCGCAGGAAAATCGAAGAGTAATGTGGCTTTACAGGCACATTCAACAAAAGAAACCAAAGGCAAAGGAAAATGTTTCGATAGAGGTAGAGGCGGATACAACAAATTGAATGGTAGAGGAAACCAGAACAAAGAAAACTTTTCGAATAAAAGAAGACCATACCAAGGAAACCAAAGATGTGGTGTTGCAAATAGAGGAAGAGATGGTGGTCGAAAATCTGATAAGAGTCACATTCAATGTTACAATTGTCAAAAGTATGGTCACTATTCGAGTGATTGTCCAGAAAAACGAAAGAATCAAGAAAGTGATGCAAAGCTTGCAAAACATGAAGAAGAAGAGAAGATGATGCGGATGGTCACAACAAAAGACGAAGATAGATTCAAGGACCAAGGGTACTTGGATTCAGGATGTTCATCACATATGTCTGGAAGGAAAGACTGGTTTGTCAACATAAAGCCCTCAATGAAAAATATGGTAAATTTTGCAAATGACAATATCCTAGCAACTGAAGGTATTGGTGATGTTATGATTATAAGGAAAGATGGCAAGAGGTCAGTAATTTCCAATGTATTGTACATACCAGGCATGAAGAGCAATTTGCTCAGTATAGGGAAGTTGGTCGAAAAGAAGTATAAAGTATCAATCAAAGATAAGATGATGAGAGTCGTTGATGCAAATGGAAGATTAATCTTGAAGGCTCATATGTCTCAGAATCTAACTTTCAATATTGAACTAAATGTGATGGAGCACAAGTGCCTTTCAGCTGCAGCTAGCAGAGATGAATGGATATGGCATTATAGACTAGGCCATCTCAACTTCAGAGACATCAGAGATTTGAAGAGAAGAAATATGGTTTCAGGATTTCCAGAAATCGACATTCCAAACGAGGTATGTGAGGAATGTGTGCAGGCGAAGCAACACAAGAATAGCTTCAGCAAGGATGCAGGAATCAGATCGAAGGCTATTATTGAAGTCATATACTCTGATGTATGTGGACCAATCCAGGTGGATTCAATGGGACGTAACAAATACTTGATACATTCATAAATGATTTCAGTTGAAAGTTGTGGATTTATCTGATCAAGAAGAAAAGTGAAGTGATCGAAGTATTTGCCAAGTTTAAGTCTATGGTCGAAAGACAAAGTGATCGAAAGCTCAAAGTTTTGAGAACTGGTGGTGGTGGAGAATATGCGTCGAAAGACTTCGACAGGCTATGTGAAAAGGAAGGGATTGTGCATGAGGTGGTGCCACCCTATACTCCACAATAAAATGGAATTGTAGAAAGGAAGAATCGAACTATCGTGAATATGGTGAGAAGTATGTTGAAAGGCAAGAATTTACCTAAAGAATTTTAGGGTGAAGCTGTTTCGACTGCAACATACATTTTGAACAGATGTCCTACAAAGAAGCTAGAAGGAATTAGTACAGAAGAATGTTGGTCTGGTGTAAAGCCTAGCTTGAGTCATCTGAAGGTATTTGGACCTATTGCACATAGACATGTTCCAGATCAGTTGAGAAGAGAACTTGATGACAAGTCAAGTCAAATGATTCTAGTTGGATATCATTCGCCAGGAGGCTACAAGTTGTTCGATCCAGTGAAAAAACAGATTATGATCAGCAGGGACGTGGTCATAGATGAGTTTAAAGAATGAGATTGGACTGAAAATGTCAAGAAAGATTTAGTGGGAATCCTACTCGAAGATCCAGAAACTCAAATCGAAAGAGAAGTTCGACAAGAGGAACCGACAGATATACCAAGTACAAGCAGGCCGCAAAGAACAAGACGCGTGCCTGCAAGATTTCAAGATTGTATGATTACATAATATGATGTAATAGATAATGAAGGTGAGCTGGTACATTATGCTTTCTATGCAGATGTCGAACCTGTCAATGCAACTGAAGCATTGAAGGATTCGAAGTGGATGAAAGCAATGAACGAAGAAGTGAAGTCTATCGAAGACAACAACACTTGGTCACTTGTCGAATTGCCTCAAGGCAAGAAGGAATTTGATGTCAAGTGGGTATACAAAGTGAAAACTAATTCGAAAGTTGAAGTAACTCGACACAAAGCAAGACTTGTGGCGAAAGGATTTCTACAGAAAGAAGGAATAGACTTCGATGAAGTTTTTGCACCTATTGCTAGGATCAAAACAATCAGGTTGGTTGTTGGTCTAGCAAAAATAAACAGTTGGCACATATGTCAGATGGACGTAAAGTATGCATTCCTAAATGGACCCTTAGATGAAGAAGTCTATGTTAAACAACCAATTGGGTTTGTGAAACATGACGAAGAAAGAAAGGTGTACGGGCTGTATAAAGCCTTGTATGGATTGAAACAAGCTCCAAGAGCTTGGAATAAGAAAATTGATAGTTTTCTAAGGGAGAAGGAATTTGTGAAGTGCATAACTGAACATGGAGTATATGTAAGAAGAAGCAAGAGTGAATTGATTATACTATGTCTCTATGTAGATGATTTGTTGATAACAGGTCGCTGCAAGAGTGAGATCGAAGACTTCAAAGGTGATCTCAGCAAGGAATTCGAAATGTCTGATTTGGGTGAGATTTCATATTTCCTTGGAATCGAATTCTACAAGAGCAGTAGAGGTTTGATGATGCATCAAAGAAGATATACAGGATAAATTCTCAAGAGGTTTGAGATGGAAGAATGCAACTCAACTTCGACACCTGCAGAATCAAGACTACAACTGTCAAAAGATGCAGATGAAGATGATGTTGATACAACCCAATACAAAAGACCTATTGGATCATTGAGATACCTTTGTCATACAAGGCATGACTTAGCATATAGTGTAGGTATGATAAGTAGATTCATGCAGAAGCCAAAGATATCACATCTAGCAGCAGTGAAGAGGATACTAAGGTATCTCAAAGGAACTTTCGATTATGGCATTTTGTTTCCTGCAGCTGATAAAGGAAAAGAATACAAGTTAGTGGGATACACTGATTCGAGTTGGTGTAGTGATGCTGAAGATCGAAAGTCAACAGCATGATATGTGTTTATACTAGGTGGTGCACCAGTTGCTTGAAATTCAAGAAAGAAACCAGTAGTGGCATTATCATCATGCGAAGCATAATACATAGCTTCTTCTCTTTGTGCATGTAAAGCAACTTGGATGGTAAACTTGGTCGAAGAGATAACAGGGAAAGATCATTGAGTAATTACCATGAAGATCGACAACATGTCAGCTATCAATCTGGCGAAGAACCCAATAGCACATGGTCGAATTAAGCACATCGAAATGAGGTTCCATTATCTTCGAGAGCAGGTAGCAGATGGGAAGATGAATTTAAAATACTGTAGAACTGAGAATCAGATTGCAGACATCATGACGAAAGGAGTACAAGTCGAAGTATTCAGAAGACTAAGAGCCATGATGAACATATATAGTTTAGACACAATGAATTAGGTGGTGTATTAAATTGTAATTCAGTGTGTCAAAACTATGTGTCGAAAAGATTGGATTTGTTTATACTTAAATAGATTTGATTTAAGTCTAGAATAGATTAGATTTGATTTAGTAATAAAATAAATATTTTGGGTTTTGGGCTTAGGGTGTAAGCTCAGTTATAAATAGAGGG